AGAACAGACCCAAGACTCCAAGACCCCAGAGTAAGTTCAGCTGGTGATTACTGGCTGGTGTGGATGAAGATCAAGTAGGAAACCTGGGGGTGAGGAGAGGGGAGGGGAGTTCTCTGAGTCACAGCCCCAAGAATCCAGAAAACTACAGAAGTTTGCCCCTCACACATTCTTAATGGATACTTCAGGGTTTTGTGGGAAATAGAATACATTTTGCTAGGGGGCGTGTTACCCATGCGTGCATGCATGTGTGCACATGTGTGTGTACATGTGTCAAGGGAGTAGTATTTTTTTCTCTCCATATGATGCACATATGATGATGGACGTTATCTAAGTTTTGCTCTCTATTATGTTTTCTGCATGGTGACTGTGGATGTCCTGCAGGGGGAGTGGACCATGTCCTTTCCCCAAAGCTCCTTACACCCCCACGCTGAGGTAGGCCACACTCTGGAAATTACAATATGTAGGGGACATAGCCACTAGCACCAGCAGAGGGGAGGCTGCTTCTGGGGCTCCCTTGGGTGTCATGTTTGGTCTCACCAGGCCCCAGCCGAGTGGCAGAACTGCAGCAGGTCAGGGGCTAGGACTTTGTAGGTGGGCCCCATCCTGGCTGTCTGCCTTGGGCTGTCCTCCTTTTTCTCCTGGGCATCTGAGAAACACTGGTCTCTCTGAGAAATAAACCAAAGCCAGAAACAATGGAGCTTGTACCCACCCAGACACACCTTCTGTTCCCCGAAGAATGTGACAATAACCAAGATGAAGTTCTGGAGGGAGCAGAACTTGATCATGATGGCTCAGACAATGGGGCGATTGGCTTTCAGGTGGCCGTATTTGGTGTATTCATTGAGTTTAGGATCTTTCCCCCTTCCTTCCTTTCCCCCTTCCTCTCAGCCTCCCTCCTGTCTTTTTGAGAACATAAGTGTTTTGGAGTCTGTTACTATACTATTCCTGCTCTATTTCTTGGCTATTATGATTTCCCTATTCTCAAGTCTCTTGCAGATCCACAAACACAACAAAATAAGAAAACCTCAGAAACATTAAGAGACAAGAGACTTCTTAGCTAGATATGGTTTTGTATGCCTGCAATCCCAGCAACTCCAAGACTGAGGCAGGAGGATCATAAGTTCCAGGCCAGACTCAGCAACGTTAAAAAAAAAAAAGGCTGGGGATACAGCTCAGTGGTAAAGTGCCTCTGGGTTCAAGCCCCATACAAAAAAAATGAGTGACTTCTTATAGTTCAATTTTATTTTAACTGAAAAACTGTCAAATTCAATTCATTCAGCATATTGGAAATTATTTGGAAAATTATCCTTTAGAATAGAGTGAACTGAATAATTTATTGCTCAAGCCAAATTTTACACACAGAATATATATGTATAAAAAGTGTCATAGATCTTGGTGGATTAATGAGGGAATAGCAGGAAACAGCTTTATTTAAGGTTTCACAATTTCTAAGCTTTAGCCTGAGAAGCAGCGTGGGTGTGCACAGCGCCCCCTAGGGATCACGTAAGTAATGGTATCTGCTCTAGAGCCTGTTAGAGTTCTGTGGTTACAGCCCCAGATTCAGCCGAACTGCCCTCTCCAGGGATCAGAGTGCTGAGGCGTCCATCTTGATCATGCCTACGGTTGGTCAAGGAAGATTTCCAGATTTTTAAAAAAAATTTAAACGTCTAAGCCATCACAAACCTTCATAATTCCACAAGGTGTAGGAAATACTATCAGATTTTGTACCAGCTAGTAGGAAACCCATCTGACTCCCTTTAAAATCCGTTTAAGGTTCTCCTGGGTCTAACTCGCCCTGAACAGGTCCTAGAGGCAGATAGAAAAGAAATCTTTGACATCTGGGGCTGGAGATTCTCGGTGCGCAGCTGAACCCATCCCAGCCTCGGCTGTTCCATCTACGCAATGGGTGGGAATCCCAGCTCTCTCTCACCAGCCGCCTGACTTCGTCCCTACAAGGGGAATCATTAGTATAGTGCATATATCACGGTTGTCGTGGAGACTGAACTAGGTCGTGCCGTGCTCCCTGGCCAGGGGCCTGGCCCAGTGCGAATGCCAGTACCTCCCTGGAGTTGCAGTGCGCGCGCGCGAGCCAGCCTGGACCAAAGCCGCGCGCTTGGAGTGAGAGTGTCCTCTGTGGGCTGCCTCTGCACAGGACTCTCCAACATTTAGAAACGCCTCAGGCCACCAAGCGGAGCAGGATGTAGTGTGGTATTTAGTAATATATGTCGTCTCCCCCAGGAAGACAGAGGTCCCCAAACACCTCCCCTGGGCAGGTGCCGGCCACTCCACAGCACCAACAGAGACCGAGGCGCAGAGACCATCCCTGGCCTTTGGAGCGCCCTTTTCTGTCTGCTATCTTCACCAAGTCTTGCATTGCCAGGGCGCAAGGCACGGCCTTCTCAGGGAGATGGCTTTTACGTCATTTTAGATATTTTCCTAAAAAAAAAAAAAAAAACCACCATAAACTCCGTTTATGTGCTAAGACAAATACATTCATTCCTTTTGGGGGTAGGGGGCGGCACCCGGTGCACTTCGGCCTCCTGCATCCCTCCACATTCGGTGTCCTCAGAGCCACACTTTCCCACCTCCGGAGTTTTGAACACCGCGGGAGGATGGGAGTGGGGTGGGCGAAGCTGCTGGGCGGGACCCAGTTGCCCGCAAATGACCCAGGGCTGACCCCACCCACTTCCCTCCCCTCCTCCGCGTTCGTCCTCAAGACACTGGCTCAAGGGCGCCCCCTCCCGGCCGCGGTGGGGATCTGCTCCTCTGGGAGAGGAAGCGGGGCCAGCACAGTCCAGGTCAGAGGGCGGCCCATCAAGGTCCTGCTGGAGGGACTCCAGCCAAGGCCCCTCTGGGGACCCATTCCATACACTCCTGGTTCTAGGATCTCTAAGCACCCCAGGTTTTGTTTCCACGCGCTCTTTTACCGCGGGTTCCTCCACGGGCTTTTTTTTTTTTTTTCCCCCTTGAAAGGCGCAAACATTCCCAGTTTTAATGCGGGCCAATTATCTCGTTTATACGACTTAAAATGTTTCCTTTTAACTCATTTCAATCTAGTAAATATGCTTCAGCAAGTAGCTAATTTCTCAGGGATGGCTTCAGTCTCTCCATTTGCATATAAAGCGCATTGGGGTTGGCCTCATTTCTGGGTACGTGGGTCGCAGACAGCAGGGCCTCCTCTTCCAGGTAGGGCGCCTAGGTTTGGCCGCGGGCAGGCATAGGCCAGGGTCCGCGACCTTGCCCAGACCCCGACAACAGGGGCCCGGGCAACCCCAAGCGCCGCTCCCGCCCTGGCCGGCACTTATCCCGGAGAGGGTGCGCCCTGGGGTGCCGCATTGAGGCGTGGGTCAGGGATGCATTTATCCTGAAGTATGTTTATTAAATCGTGCCTGGAGATGGATGGACGTGGATACAGGGGAAGAAATCACAGGGCTCAGTCGAGCAATCTTCTGGCTTTAAATTCCGAATAAAAGTCTCAAATATTCCCGGGTCAGGGGGGCACTGTCTCATTAAAACCACTCTCGTCCCGAAACTGCCATGCAGACATTAAAGTGCAGTATTTTTCAATTAGAGCTGACGAATTCAATCAAAATTCCATAGATTAGGATGAAATGAGGCATGGGTCATTTACAGGGGAATTTAATTGCCGAGCCATTAGACAAATAGTATATTTGCCATTCCCGCGTTATCCATCATTTCGACATCAATACCGGGCCGCGTCTCCCCGTCCCGCGGCTGCCCGGCGTCGCCGTAAACACTCCCTTCCCTGTATCTTCTGATTGTATCTGATTTCATTTAGGGCCATGGGGGATTATAAATGTTCACGCAATCAAGTTCATTAGGACTTCAAATCGCATTTCTGATTGGGATCGCTCTGCAGCCGTCCTCGGAGCGCCTTTCAAACCCCAGCGCGAGGCTTGCGAAAACACCCTTTTGAATTTACAGCTTCCCATCCTTTTGTCTTGCGACGCCCCCGCCCGCCATCCTCCGGAGGCCCAGCGCTGCCGGGGCCTTGGCGGGGAGCAGCCCTGAACCCCAGTCGCCCAGTGAGCGCGGCTGGCGGAGGCTGGGCTGGCCCCAGCATTCCCCAGGCCGCGCCGCGGGCTCCGCCGGCCTCGGGAGACCCCTCCCCCAGCCGCGATCTCGCTGCTGGGCTGTGAAGCCCCCGGGCGGCCCGGGGCGCTCAGGACCCGAGGCCTGAGACGCGCGCGTCGGCTGGTCGAGTGGGTACCAGCCCCGCGTCTCCCGCCCCAGCCCAGTGCCACTGATGACATTTGGGGGCCTCGGAGTCCCGCCGCCGCAGGCCTCAATTGGGCTGGCCCTAAGGACTGACACTGGGTACCCCTTTTCGGGCTGGTCTGTTTCCCTCCAAGGTCCCGGGTGGGGGAGGTACCCAGCGAAGCCGTACAGGGCTCCCATTAACAAACCCAAGAGACAAAGGAGGAGGCTCTTCTGGGGAGAGCACGACAGGAAAGGCTCACGACATCCCTTCCAGCACAGTCGAAAAATAATAGCTTAATATTAACTGCTTCTCATAAAAATATACTTTCACAGATACAGTTACAAGAAGAAAACCCTCATTTTATCCTCGTACTTTGTGCTCCTCGCTGTTAGCTGCCTCAGTAATTTAATTGGAATAGAACGTGAGAAATGTGTCATTTTTGAAGAATTTATGCATCACTTCCTAGAAATCTCATTGTGTTAACTAGGAGCCTACTGCGTTCTGTTTAGAACCATAATCACATTTTTATGTGTCTGTATTATGCGTTAATGTGACCTCCTATCTTTAGCAGATAAAAAAAAAAAATCTCCTTCCATAACAAACTACCACTTACATCAAATACACGAAAACCTGTTTTCCCTATGTTCTTCAAACTTACCTACTTTCTCCAGATCATGGATAGGAAATGTGAATGGAAAAAAAAGTGCCTACCAAATGAATAATTACACACCAAATTAAAATCCTGCACTAAACATAGTCGACAGCAAATACTGCATTCTCAATCATGTTTATTGCTTACAAATTGCATTACAAAGAAATCTACTCTTTTTATTGGAGTGATTAAGCAGAGTGTTAGGATTGCAGAAATGCTGCTCCTGAAGATCAGACGAAGGCTGCAAACCCAGCTAGTCACATTGCAACAGTAAATGTATAATTTTGTTAAAGAACACGTTTAACACAGAGACGAGGACCGGGCTGTCATTATGACACCATAAAAGAGTCAACTGAAAATTATATTTATTTATAAACACATTGCCTATAAAATGCACATATTTAATATGAAGGAAGCAAGCAATTCCATAATCAATATTTTAATTACTGAATTTTTTATCATAGCAGCACAGTTCTCTATGGTACTTTATGACTCCATGGCCTTCCCGAGCTCTTCTCCCTTTATCATGGGAGCTAAAGTCCTTCCTTGTTTTCTTCTCTTCCTCCCTTCTTTCTGGGCTGAGCAGGTTGGAGGGTGAGGGTCAGACCGTTTGCTGATGGCGCCACCTGCAGGACTCTATAACAAGGAATTTCCACACCTCTAAAATCTTCCCAAGGGCTCTGGGTTATTTTAGCAATTTAATGAAATTGATTTTGTTTTAACATAGAAGGATGTTAACAACTTCAAGATAAATCCTGGAGTCTAAAAAGTATTTTGATGCTGCCAAACTATGCTTAAGTCTGAGAAATAAAAAACAGCATTGATCAGAGTTGAACTGCCAGGGCTTTTGAATATCCCAGTGGCATATAGAAAATAGGACTAAAGGAATAATTTATCCTTGAAGGGATGGAATAAAAGATGAAGTATTCTCTGTTTATCACTTGGTCCTGGGAGCTACCCTGAAGAGGTAAGAAGCAATCAGCATCTGGAATTGTAGTGACCGAGGGCCTTCTCAGAGCCCAGGGTTTCGAGGAGGGGGCTGAGTTGCTGGAGCAGACCAGCTCATTCTCCAAGTCTGCACTTTAACCATTTCTGTAGAGGGTTAAGTGTTCTCTGCAAAAGTTCAACAGCCTTCCCCATCATGTTGGTCTAACTGGTTATTTCAGAGATTGGAAATTTGATGATTATATACTTACTGAGATTAGCAAATCCTCCTTATACCTAGGGAGTCAGTGGCTTTGATTTTCTACCAAACCTGCTGAATTGATGGATATCAAGTAACTTAAAGTTAAACTGACACAAATACACTAAAAAATAGACCCAATGCTGCATTTGAAATTTTAACCCTAACATGTCACACAGTGTTCAGCCCATGTACTAACTGCCGGAGGACTGTGCACTGAGTCTGGGGGTCCAGCTGTGAACATTTGCTCCTGTCCTGGGGATAGGTGCACCAGAGAAGCCCACCTCTCTAGGACCAGTGTTGGTGGAGAACGTCACTTAGGTAATTTTGGATCCTTGTGTTCAGATGGCAGGTAATAATCAAAGATATTTGATAAAAGTAGGAAGAAAACCATGCCTTGGCTGTTTTTTTTTTTTTTTTTTCATTTTAGTAGAAGCAGCAGGTAAAGGGGCCATTCACTCTTTTATTACCTTATCAATTTTGAACCAGGTGAATGTACCATTAAAATCTAAATGTGAAATTAAAGAAAACAATTTAGATCTCGCAGAATCAATTTATGTTATATATGCAACAAGAAAAATGATGTTCAGTGTGGACTATCTAAGAAAGGAAAAAAGTTTAGATTTTTTAAAATAAAAAATAAATGCCAGGGTAAATTTTGTTTACTGGAAAGGAAATAAAATGGGAGAATTCTGGTCTTAAAATAGAATATCTTTTTCAATGTTCATTTCAGCTAATTTGTCCCCTCTCTACCTCCTTTCTCCCTACTTCTCTTCTTCCCTCCCTTTCTTCTTAGTCTCTTCCTTATGCAAGTCCTGTAATTCTAGAACTTTCCAGCAATATAGCATGGAGCATAGCTAGACTGGTCAGTGAAACAACTTTTTTTTTGTCAGTTATTTTATTTATTTGGCTCTAACAAAGTAAGTTGCTAGCAGTAATTACATTCTGCAAAACTATGAATGAATTGTACCTCATTTGATGACTAAGATAGCCTCAAGTGCACAAGCCATTTTGCCCCATAGAGTCATGGTCATAATTCAGAGACAGCATGTAGCGCATCTGGACAGCCACCAGGACCCAGGAGGACTGCTGTTCAGAGCCTGCTTCCTCCCTGGCCATTCTCTTGCAGCGGTGATGTCATGCTCCTGAAGAGTTGGGGGTGGGATAGAGGACGCCCCTCATCCCAGGAGAGCCAGCTTATGGCTGTTACTGTCACATATGGGTCCATGATGACCAAGGGTGCTGGCTGGAGAGGACAGACCCCATATTTCATAGCAGCCCTAGGACATGTTGTCCTGATCACCTACCTGGTCAAGAGCTCCAGGAGAAGGCAGGCAGCCACCATGTCACCATGTTCCCAGCCCCTGGCCTTGGGCTCCATTCCCAGCCAACTGCTAGGAAGGGTTAGTCTGGGTTAGTCAGATAAATGAACAAAGGTCAAAGGAAAACCAAAACAACAAACCAGAAAATAACAAGAGCTGGTGAGGATGCAGAGAAATCAGAACCCTGGGGCATTGTTGATGGGACTGTGAAATGGGGTAGCAGCCATGGAAAGCAGCATGGAGTTTCCTCAAAAACTAAAACTGGAACTACCATCTGATTCGACAGTCTCACTTCTGGGTGAATATTCAAAGGAGCTGAATGCAGGATCTTGAAAAAATATTTGCATGCTCATTGTATTAGTCAGGTTTTTTTTGGGGGGGGGTTAAAAAACACCTGTGGCTGGATACATTTCAGCAAGATCACTTGGGGCTGCAGAAGACCTGCCTTATACCATTTCATCTCATGGGTCCCTAAACTAGTGAGAGCTGCCATCCAGGTGAGCAAATTGCAGCTGGTTTCACTTCAGTATCTGTCTCTGCTGCTCAGTGGAGAAACCCAGTTCTGAATCCATCTGTAGGCTGTTACCATGAGCTATGCAATGTCCAGTGTACTGTATCGCCTTCCAGGACAAAGCAATCTTTCTAGCATCACCTTTTGACTGTAACTGTTCACCTGCCCTCTGGTTCCTTATACCTGTACAGTGAGGTTCAGAAACCTTGCTATGGAGGCCCAGGGCCTCCTGATTTGTAACCCACATCTCTAGCCCTGCTTCCTTCCATCTGACAAAGGATGGGGACCCTTTTTTCTGGCTGCCCATCCATCATGCCCTGCACTTTCCTGCACCAATGACATCATTCAAGTTCTCCTTTGGGTCCAGCGATGACACCTGGAGGGGCCTGGGAGAGTTATCTACTTGGGTTGGGGGCCTCTGGGGGTCTTGAAACAGTGTTTACATATCCCCTTTGAAGGACAGGTCAATTGTCCATTATCAAAGGGTGGGATGGAGATGGGGATGGGTCATCTGGAGGAGTTGGAAGATGACAAGCTGTCTCATCACTCCCTTGGAAAGTCCAGTGTGTTAAAATGTGACCCTCTACCCAGGCTCAGCCTGTCTTCTCCTTCACGGTGGCCCTCCTCATGGATGGACCCTTCTTGCCAGGGGGGCTTTACTCACCCGTGGTGCACACAGCATCCCATCTTAAGCTATAGCTGCGTCCTGGGGCCTGAACTTGCTTCCAGACAGTGACAGTAGGAGTGTGTGCCCTGGCCTCAGGGGTCTTGCTCTGGCTTTAATTGGAAAGCAAAGGGGCCACTGCTTATCCTCATACCATGACCATAAAGAGTTCTTGCTTTGAAATATAGTGTGTTGGGCTAGGGCTGTAGCTCAGTGGCAGAGTGCCTGCCCAGCATGAGGGAAGCCCTGGGTTCCATCCTCAGCGCAAGCGCGCACACACACACACACACACACACAAGTGTATTGGTAGAAAACTTGAGGTCAAGTAAGGCAATACATCGAGAGATGAGTATCTATCACTGAGCTGCTTATCTCTCATAGTTCCCGAGAGAAGAAGGCTCACCGTGCCACAGGGCCATGAAGGGAAGCATGAGCATTGGCCAGGAGCTGGGGGAGGAACAGGCTTAGGTCTGGTTAGTGTGAAGGCTTCAGTGGCTCTCGGGCATAGGAGCTGTCCCTCATTGTCTAGTTCGTGGTCCTGGAGTGATCAGGACAGATGGACAGTGGCCCTTAGTGAGAGTCAGATAAAGAAGGTGGCTGTGTGCTCTGGCCTGGTTGGCATGCATGTGAAAAGATGCTCTGTGGCCAGCTGTCTCTAGGGACTAGCTACTGGGAAGGGCTGTCCCTCATGTCAGCAAGGCCCCAGATGTCACAGCATAGGAAAAGAGCAGACAGAAGACAAGGTCAACACGTTCCTAGATAATGAGCCCCTCTCTCTTGCTGTGTGGGCTCGGCTGAGCTGGGGCAACACCTGTGGACCTGTGCATTCCAGGCTACTTTCCACAGGGGTCTGTTGGGGTGGAATGAGGGTGTCAGACAAAGGACTCCTATGGGACCCAAAGTCTGACTCGACACCCCTTTAAGGTCCTCCTGGGAAAGTGCCGGATTGCTGTGTGCTTGCTAGCAGTGACAGGCTCCAGGGAGGTGCCCTGTCATGGAAGCAAGAGTGCTCTCAGCAGGTGGGCCTGGCATGTTCTGGGCACAGACCCACTCCCAGTGGCCAGGCTCCAGGAGGGGGTAGGAGGCCTTCCCTATGAGGCTGAGGGTCCACAGGCTATGGGGCAGTAGGCATGCTGCCAGTTCATTAGGGGTCAGGGACAGATCTTAGAAAAAGACATATGCCTTTTAGTTCAGCTTTTGTTGAAAGGTACTTTGCAACAGCAAGTGCAGCAATAGTCACGCTGTCCTGTGAGCCTCACAAGCAATCCTGAGATGCAGGAAGGATGTTCATTATCAATTCCATGTTGAGGCAAACCCGAGGCTTGGCAGCTTTGTGCTTCGGCTGGTCACATGGGAGTGAGGGGCACGGGAGGCCCATGCAGATGTGCCCCTCCTCAGCAGGCGCTCTTCCCCACAGGGCCTCCCTGAAGGGCCAAGATGAGGACCAGCAGCCTTGGTTGCCAAGCTCTTTCAGTGCAAAACACCCTCTGGCTCCAAAAGTAGGTAATCTTGCAGGGACTTGGGCAAGGGCAGCAGGGGTATGAGGTGAAAGCAGTTTTTTCCAGACCATCTGCGAATGGCACAGCGGCAAAGATGCTGCAGGCAGCGCGGGGTGTGGGCCAAGGCAAAGAAAGACTGGTAGAAAGGCTCGTGCATCTGGAAAGGAAGGCGCAGGGAGTGTAAGTGGGCGCACGGAACCCACCCACATTCCTCCCCCACCAGGCCACCATAGAAAGTCATCCCTCTGTGGCTCCCTGGCTTAGTGCAGGGAGGAGAGCTGTCCTCCGCTGTGCTTCTACAATGTAGTTCCCACCCAGTCAGGGAGGCGTGGTCTCGAGGGACTTGGGCTGTGCACTCCAATCCCTTCCTGCCCTGTCCTCTCTGACAGCAGCCCTGCAGCTCCAAGGGTGGCCTCCTGTCAAACCAGTCCTGACAAGCCTTCCCTTTGGCCAGTGATGGGCTCCAGAGCCCAGGCCAAGCCATGGGCACATGGTGATCCCTGGCATTCATTAACATGCACTTGATGCAGCCAGTGAACCGGGAGAGGATTATCCAGGAAGAAACATTCTTCCTCTTTGTGCAATTGACAGTCACCCGTGCACCATGCTGTGTGTGGATGTGACCCCCTTTGCTGTGCGGGTTGCTCCTTTTTTGCTTCTGGGATTGAACCCAGGGGCCTTCTACCACTGTGCTACATCTCCAACCTCTGGCCTTTCTGTTTGGAGGTAGAATCTTGGTAAGTTGCCCAGGCTGGTCTTAAACTTGCAATCCTCCTGCCTCAGCCTCCTGAGTCAATGGGATTGCAGGCATGTGCCACCACATGTGACGTGAGTTACACCTTGAGCCATCAGAAGAGGAAGCCCACACTCAGGTCCAGACTGGCATGTCTAGAGAAGGAGCCAGGACCTGCACACTCAGGCGGCTTCAAGTCCCTTCCCTGATGTTGCTTCCCTAAGCTCCAGCAGCCTCCAAGCCAGTGTGGGCTGTTGTGTGCTCCCTGCAGCCACAGCACCCTCACCATCCTCTGCTGTATCTGTGGGGGACAGGTTCCAGGACCCCTGAGGGTACCCAAATCTGCAAGTGCTCAAGTCCCTTCTGTAAAATGACACAGTGTTTGCAGGTAACTCAGGCACATCCTCCCATGGACTTTCAATCACCTCTAGGTGACTTAGGATGCCCCCGACAGATGTCACACTGTATTGTTCAGGAAAGAAGGGCCAGAAGCCAAACAAAGCCTGCACATGCTCAGTGTAGTTTGTCCCTTAAGATTTTTGATCCCTGAATCCAAAATCTGGATGCAGAACCCATGTACAGGGAAGGTGACTGTACAATAACTGGCTCTTGGCTATGTGGTTACTCAGACGCCGGAAGAAAACAGAAACATGTAAATGTGCCCCAGTGTCCCCTCTCCTCCTTACCTCTTAACCTTTTTTTTTTTTTTTTTTTTTGGTGCTGGGGATGGTAGCCAGGGCCTGATGTGCTAGGCAAGTGCTCTACCGCTGAGCCGCACCAACTCAATGGTTCACACTTCCTGGATCCATGAAAAACTCCGCACAGATGCGCAGACAGCAAAATCTTGTACCCGAGTGGGAGAAAGAAGCATCTCCTCACCTGATACACTTCCTCAGGAATCATCTCCTTCCAGGACTCGGACACGTGCAGCTGAGCGTAGGAGTTGAAAAGAACCTCGATCACGCCCGGGGCTGGCGCGCAGGTCCTCAGCACCTGGTGGGAAGGGGGGAGATGCACTGTAGGACGACTGGCTTGGGGTTCACCTGCAGAAGGGTGGGAGGCATGCAGATATGTCGGGTGCACGCCCGCCTCTCCCTGGCTGTGGGACTGGGGTCTCAAGTTGGAGAAGAGCCACAACACAGCCCAGCAGGAGGCTGCTGGGCCCAGGAGTGAACCAGGACAGGCACAGGCAGGCTCTGAGTGCCCTCTCACCTCAGGATGGCTGCTTTGAAAACTCTGGGCACCAGGACTCAAGCCACCAAGTTCCAGGAGATGACGCTGAGGGCCTGAGGGCGAGCAAACCAGAGTTGCACCAGAAACCTGGCCCCAGGAGGGCGTTCCCAGCCTCTGCCTCCTTGAATCAGGAGGGTGACAAGGGCCCACTTCTGGGGCTGCTGGATGTCCTCTTAGCTTGGCCTTTACATTTTTTTTTCACAATGCCCACTGGCAAAGATTCCTGTTTTCTTAATTGCAAATTTATAGATCAAGCATATCAGCTTCACTGTAAAGATGGGAAAAATAAAATTTTGCTTTTGAAAAATAAATTTTTTATCATGGAGAAATTTGAACCACACAAAATAGATCAAATAGAAAGATAAAGCCCTGTGCACTCAGCATTGAATCAACGTCGATCCTGCTGCATCCATTTCCCCTCATATTGTCTTCTTATTTATTTATTTATTTCTGTGAGGCTGGGGATGGAACTCAGGGCCCTGCACAAGCTCTGCCACAGCTTCGCCCTCAGCACTCACCTAATATTGTTTTGAAGCAAAACCCCACGTGTCCTTATCATTTCACCTGTAATCATTTCAGTGTTTCCCTTAACGGACCTTTTTAAAAAAACATGATAGCACCTGAGAAATTAACATTTGTTTCTTTCTTTTAATTTATTTTTTTATTTGTTCTTTTTAACAATTGTTTCTTAATATCATCTAATATTTAGTTAGCATTACAATTTACAAATTTCTCTTAAATGCCATTATATTAACAAAATAATTTCCCTTCTGGTACTGGGTAAATGAATATAATGCCATTAACAAAATAATTTCTCCTTTGCCACTGAGTTACGTTCTTAGTCCTTTTTCATATTTTTTTTTCTTTTTTTTTTTTTTTTTAGACCAGGACTCATCAAGTTGTCCAGGCTGGCCTTGAACTTGCCATCCTTCTGCCTCAGCCTCCTGAGTTGCTTGGATTACAGGTATGTGACACCACACTCTACTAATTTGTTTGGTTTATTTTATTTTATTTTTTTTCCCTCTCATTTGTTTCATGGTATTTATTTGTTGGAGAAACCAGATTCTTGATCCTGTAGTTTTTCTTTGTGGGATTTTGCTGATTGTAACCCTGTGGAGTTTTGAAACCTGCTGCTCTTCCTCTGTCCTCTGCAAATAGTAGCTAGATTTTTCAGTTTAACAGAATTGAGATTAGATTTTGGAGAAGGGCAGGGCAACCTCATAGCATTCTTTTTGAGGGTCAGCTTTGGTGACAAGCTCACTCTTCCAAGACTTGGTTGAACAGGCTGAAGTCCTGGGAGTCTTCCAAGAACAAGCACCCGTGGAGACCATGACCGGAGCCAGTGGCCAGCCTGGCCTGCACCCTGACCCTGGGCCTCTGAGCATGGCCTCAATCAGAAGGGTGCATTTGAATCCCTCATTACAGTTGTTGCTCTTACAACTCACCTTGCTCCTTCACTGTTTTGGATCTAAGATCCTTCAAAATACAGAGAGTCAAAATTTAAAAAAGAATCGTAGTTCTTTGTTCAGAGATAACCACTATCAACACTTTGTGTATGCTAACGTTTTATGCCATTTAGACAACACATTTACACACACACACACACACAAAGTTCCAACCTACAGAGGTTCTGCTTAAACAACTCTTTGATTCTACAGTGGAGTGTAATTAACATGCATTCAGAAGAAACTGTATTTTTAAAAAATATTTATTTTTCAGTTGTAGTTGGACACAATACCTTCATCTTATTTATTTTTAGGTGGTGTTGAGGATTGAACCCGGGGTCTTGCACATGCTAGGCAAGTGCTCCACGGCTGAGCCACAATCCCAGCCCCAAGAAACTGGATTTTGAATGTGGATGTTCCCCTGGACTTGTGACATGTGGTACCCTCTTCTCTTCCCTGTGATGCTAGATGGGGCTGAGCTCCCACACTGCCCATCAGTCCCTGCTCACCAGAGGTAAGAACCAGGGCTCTGCATTGTTCTGTGTTGTTGAGCTCCGAAATTCAGTAGGTCAGGTGCATTCCATGTGTCTCCTCTGGCTGATGTTTTTAACTTACAATGACTTTATTGGTACATAATCCCATTATTAACTAAGGCTCATCTGCATAACAAAAATGCTAACTGCTTTGCATATTATTTTGAAACTTGAGTTTTTTCCGCTTAAAATAGATTGTGAATAATTCAAAAATTATAAATGAGCATTTCAGGATCATTTTTGTGCCCATATATTTTATTCTTGAATACATCAGAATATATTCATTGAATTAACTATGTAAGTTGCCTCAATATTTTTGGATAAAACAATATCCTTGGACATAATTCAATCCCTCTTTTCCTCTGATGAAACTTATTTAATTATTTATTTTTTAAAATTTTTTAAAAAAATATTTTACTTTTACGTTTTAGGTGGACACAATCCTTTATGTGGTGCTGAGGATCGAACCCAGTGCCTCGTGCATGCTAGGTGAGCACTCTACCGCTGAGCCACAACCACAGCCCCAAAACTTATTTAAATACACTGAGAAAGTTACATTCTAGAAATGGAATTGCAGGATTAAAGGTATTTACATTTTAAGGCTTTTAAAACATACTGTCAAATATAAGAACATAAATTGGTGCAGTTTTTAAAAAATATATATATTTTTAGATGTTGCTGGACCTTTATTTTATTCATTTATTTATATGTGGTGCTGAGAATTGAACCCAGTGCCTCACACATGCTAGTTAAGTGCTCTACCACTGAGCCACAACCCCAATTTGGTGCAGTTTTTGAAGAAACAAATATAAGAGTGCATCTCTCCCCCTACCCAAAGCATCTCAATAATTGATTAAATTTGATAGATGCAACATGGAATATTGACTTTTGGTTTGATTAATTACTTAACTTTCTTCTTTTATGACTTGCTAAATTACATCTTTTGCTCATTTTTCTATTGGTCTGTTCATTTTATTTCTCTGACTTGGAAGTATACTTTACTTTAGGTTGTTTTTCCAGGTAGACAATATACAGTGTTTTTCTTCTTTAATATTAATATTTCCTATTTGTTTTCCTTGTCTTATTACATTGGCTAGCACTTTTAAGTTCAATGCCAAATAACAGCATTGATAAAGACTGTGTAATCATTCTGTTCCTAGTTTTAATAGGAATTCATAGGATTTTCTTTAATGTTTCACCATAAACATAATATTGGATATAAGTTTCATATAAATATCCTGCTATGATTTCAGAAAATACCTTTCTATTGCTAAATTGTTACAAAATTTGCGATTTAATTTAATTTTATCTGTTATATTACCAAGTTTATAGAACAGGATTTTCCAATGTTGTCTCATTTCTGCCTTTATAAAACCAACCCTAATTGGCTATTCTTCTCTCCAATTGCTATACGTTGTGGGTATTTTATATGCCATATATATATATATATATATAGTATATAATATAATGCTAGATTTACTTTGATAAGGTTTTTATTTATTTATTTTTTTATATTCAGGATGGAACCCAGAGGTGCTTTACCACTGAGCTACATCCCTAGCTCTTTTTAAAATATTTTAAGACAGATTCTCACTAAGTTGCTTAGGGTGTTGCTTAGTTACTGAGGTTGACCTCTAACTTGTGATCCTTCTGCCTCAGCCTCCAGATCTGCTAGATTATTGGCATGAGCCACAGTGCCCAGCTGCTTTGTAGTGTTTTCTTTTTTAGCATTTTTGAAAATTGGGTTTGAATTTCACTTTATGTTAACTTAGTACAACTATCTGAAGAAAATTAAATCTTTTTAATACTTGGGAAGATTTTTAAAAGTATACGGTTATTGGGATTAAGACAACATGACAGAGTTTTAAAAACATTTAGTGGTGCTAGTACTGTAGCCCAGGGCCTCTTGCTTGCTGGGCCATTCTGGGTTTGATCCCCAGCACACTACATGCGCGCGCGGGCGCACACACACACACACACACACACAGACACACACACACCCCTAATCAATTGGCTTTTGTTAAGCAAGTCTCCTTTAAAATTCACTAACCCATTAATTTGAGCCCTTTTCATGATTATTTCCTTTCTCCCCTCTGCTTGGTATGTTCTACTCCTTGGATTGATGGCTCATTTGATTTAGTGGTATTTTTTTCCCCTGAGTCATATATAATAGCAATAAAAGAGAATAAAATCATGGCATCTGCTGGCAAATGGATGGAGTTGGAGAATATAATGCTAAATGAAGTTCGCAACTTTAAAAAAACTTTAAAAAAATAACCATTTTATTTATTTACTTTTATGTGGTGCTGAGGATTGAACCCAGTGCCTCACCCAAGCCAGGCAAGTGCTCTACCACTGACCTACAGCCCCAGCCCCCTGAAGTCAGCAACTTTAAACCTACTTTAAAGTGGCATCAATTTCCTTTTCAACATAGGTGGCTCATAGCAATAAATGTTAAAGCACAGTACTTCCACTGTCTTCCTTAAATAGTCTGCAATTAAATAACTTTTTTTTTTTTGAGACAAGCCTCACTTTGTTGCCCTGGCTGGTCTCGAAGCCTGGGCTCAGTGATCTTCGTGCCTCAGCCTCATCCTCTGGAGTAGCTGGGACCATGAGCACCTGCCTGAATAACTATTGACGTGGTGGTCACCTGACAGTGTGCTATAAAAGTTTCAAAGATTATATTATTTAAAATAAGTTGACAACGTTTTACTTTTATTTTCTGGTGTACTGCACTATTCGTAGGAACATCTTCTCAGGGTGGTAGAAGAAGCTGATTCAG